CACATTAATAAATTGTCTTTAAATGTTGATTTCTGTTTTTGTTGAGGATTTGTTCAAATTATTCTTATTCTTCCAATCATCTGTCTGTTTTATAAACCTTAAGAGAAGCAGTACGTATTATGTTTCACCTCATCCCTCAAATAATCCGAGGCTTTCCTTCCTGAAGAGCAGTCCAACATCCAACCCCGCACCGGTCCAGACTTTGGTGCATTCCAGGAAGGATTGAAACTGTTTGACTAGAACATTATTAGGTAACTGATAATCATAGGTCTTTTTCCACTTCCTGTACGTCTGACATGTGCTGCTAAATCTCTCTGAAACGACTGTGGAAGCTAACATCCAGGATGGTTATGTCATCCTATTTGTTTGTACATCACAAATCAAACAGGGTCCCGCTGTGAACTGTAGCTGGTGTCTCTAAAAAAGGAGGGGGGGGGGGGGGCAGCCTGATCCATCCCCAAAGCCTATGAAGGGTAAACCGATAAACAGCGCTGAAGAGAATGAACTGAAAAAGAGAGACAAGGTGACAGTATCCAAGATAATTATCTGGGGATCAACATATGCTCTGAGGTTAAGAACGGTGATAAAACCTCTGTTATATGGCGCTCAAATGGGCCTTAAAGTTTATATAAACTTTGGATCGGACCACAAAGTGACCTTCGCCTCCCACAAAGCAGCTCCACTGACACGACACAACAGATTATAGTTTTGTTTCTTTGATGTCCATCTTTAATAGCCTGATAATCAGACTGAATTGCCGTTTTGTTTCAGTTCATTTATTCATTCTGTTTGAATCGCTGAACCATTTTAGGATGTGGGCAGTGATCCTTTCACATTTCATCAGTGGAGTAACACAACACAAATTCTTACTTTAATTTCCAAGTTTCTGTTGTCTCACAGGGCAGTTTTAACACTTTGTCTTGGTCTTTGTCTTATAAAATGTGTGTGACATTGAAGCAGCAGTATGCATTGCAACAGCGTCTCATAGACATACGCATTATCTTTTATATTTAACCACTAAGGATTGTGGCTTTCTCTAGTTTTTTAATGGGTCTTTGAATTTCTTGAATGTTCATCCTCTCAGGCAGTTGACGTCCAACTGTCCCTATGAAGGACCGTTTGATGGCTTTTAATATAATGTAAGCTTCTCTTAGAAATTAGATCTGCAAGACATCAAGATGTTTTATGTATTTCACAGTTAACCTCAAACATAAAAATTTTATCGAAAGCTTAAAAATGACAGATTTTATGACATGGGCAACTTTCTCTGAAAACATTTTCACTTCACAGAAAGTCATCCGTGCAGAGTTTCTTTTTTTGGCCCTTGGCCATGTTTTTTGGTCCCAAGTTTCTCATGGCTCCAGGAGTTTAAGAGTTGCAATGTGAACAAGGCGTGCTTTTGTATTCTCTTTGAGGATCATGAATAAAGTCCTGAATGTATTATAAAACAATTCAGGGTTGCATTAAAACTGGCTTAATTCAAACTTCAACAAATATCATCAATAAATAAGTCTAATGGCCTGGTCTGACCCCTGGATTGAGAAACCATACACTAGGGGCTCTTAATGTCATTCAGTTTGAATTTTTATTGCCCCACAGCTGCTTCGTGTCAGTCATCTGTCATTTATGAAGCAAGGCAAACTAGAAGAGTGTCACAGCATCTGACTGATACCATATGTTATGATTCTGCATTTAAATGCTCTCTCTGCACCACAAATACCTACAGCAATGCCCCTTCTTGTAGAAACTTGATCTTCAGCCTGATCAAATAGTTTGTGGAAAAAAGCTCTCTCTCACACGCACACACACAAACACACATCTGCACAGCTTGGTCCTTTGGTGGTCATCTTTAATAACCAGCAATTCATGATTAGATAGATAGCCATGTGATAGTTCCTTACTTATGAACTCAGCAGAGCAGATTCAAACCCACATCCTGACACCACTGAACTTTAGCCAATTATACAAACACCATCTTGTTATAAATCCTAGAAAGGCCAAGCTGCTATTTTAAAAATGCCTTCACTCTCAGTGTATTCAGGTTTTATTTGTAGATTTAGTTTGTATAGATTTTTCACCCAAACTGATAGTCATCATGCATTTGTCAGGAGAAGCTCAACTGAGGTTTGTAATAGGCTTCTTCCCAAACTAAGTTAACATAGACATCTTTTTACAGCTCCAAGAAAAGCAAACAATGTCCATCACATTCTCCCCAAACAGCTTGTGCAGCATAATCCAGAAGCTGTAGACAAACTGTTGCACCATGCCCAATATTTACCTCATTATTGCATTTATTTTCCCCCAGTGGAAGGCTATTTGCTGATAGGTGCAACCAGAGCACTGCCAGAGAGCAGAAAATAGGAGGTAATGAGGCAAGTTTGGACCCGCTATGCAATTGTTTGGCTATGAAGCGCTTGGTTTATGCTGCACAAGATGTTAGAGGGATTCTGCTGTACATTAATTAAGCAATCTGTCTCTGGGGACTAGGAGTCATGACCCCCCCGTATTTGTGTCGTGACTACGGCTCTGCATTCACACATTGTCATTCCGAGCAGCAGAATGGTTTGCAAAATGTTGAGCTGTGATGTACAGCTGACTTCAGTACAACTGTTATGGTCCTTCAGTTTCTTTAAATTTCACCTGCTTTATTTACTTTATAATGGAAGCCATTGAGTGTTATGTCAGACTCAAATCCTTCGTATTAGGTCCACCCACCTAATGCATTCTGTTACTCTCTTAACTTCAGAGTAGAAGGAGGTTTGCAATTAGTGTAGTGTGGTCTGACTTCAATCTGCAATGCTTTAAGATTTTAAAACTTCGATCGCCCGAACAGGGACTTGAACCCTGGACCCTCAGATTAAAAGTCTGATGCTCTACCGACTGAGCTATCCGGGCTCTGACATGTGAACCGGAAGTGGTCGTTATAAATGTCGCGGGGACAAACCACCCAGACGCGAGTTCGAGTCTCACCCGAGGCAGGTCGACAAAATCCGGCAAGAACATTTAAACAAGAAGATAACATGGTCGCATTTTTTGACCTACAATTTGACCCAACACAACGCGAAAAATTTACGGTAGGTCGCACTTGTAACGGCAGCACAGCTAACTAGCTAACGTAGTTAATTAACAAAGTTTGATGTCGGTGGCTGCAGCTAAAAAAATACTAAAGTTACAAATTAACCATAATATTAATGTAAAGAAACTGCTGTGGCGGGTCGCAAACACTACAGCGAGTGTTTAAAGTCTGTGTTGGGAAACTAAGTAACGGTACGTTGACGTTGCAGCGTTAATTGATGTATTTAACTTGCAGAAGCAGCTCATCAAAGAGCTTGAAAATGCAATCCGAGACAACACCGACAGACTGGAGGAGGTCGGGCAGAGACGACTGCGAGCTGAGGAAGAGAAAATGAAATGGTACCGTGAATATGTTTCACGTATTTAACGATGGTTTCATTCACTTGCTTTAAAAAGAAACACTGTTGTCCTCCCTGAGTTGTTCATTTTAGTGTCATTGTTAGCCAAAGTGAAGGGCAGCTAAATTATCTTTACCGTTATTTGTTTTAACAACTTATTGTTTTTTTCTTCCAGTATACATACGTTTGGAGGAATGGAAAACATCCAGATTTCTTCTCTTAAACAGACCTCCTTGTAGTTGTGTGCTGATACTTTCGTTGCTCGTATCCCTAGGGGTAGTTTGGAGTACTGCAGGGGTTACTTAACTTTATTTTATTATTTAAACTTAATTAAACAAAAGTCAGTCATGCAAAATTCCTATAATAACACTATAAGTTAAATAGAAATATAAATAAGTTAGATAAACCATATTTAATGTTCAATATTCCTATTTTCAGCCAATGTTTCCCACTAAATAGTGCAACTTTAAATAAACAATGATGCAGTTCAGTGCAACTACAATGCTGATAATGTTGTTGCATGATGACAAACTATGGGTTTGCCATGAGTTTGATGGATTCTAACCATTTTAAATTCAGCATTTAAGTGGTTTTTCTTAATAAGTCTGACACAGACGGTGCAGTGAGTGCTGTATTGTACCTCTTCATAAAGGCTAATGAGAAAGATTAAGTCACTCAACTTGCATCTTTATAGTCACACAGTTGACAACATTTTGGCCAATGAACAGCATTAATATAGCATCTTTTAACTTTGCATCCCAACACTTAAATGATAAAAAAAATCAAACAAATGTTCAATGAAGCACAGTCACCAGCTCAGTGCACATCTCTCTGGTAATATGCAACAACTTCATGAGTCCTGTTCTCACTTGCAGTACCAAAGAAACTGAGCGGAGAGCGGATTTGATGGTGGAAAAAACTGAAGCCGTTGAGTGGTTGCAGGAAATGGGGTCTCTGCTACAAGAGGAAAAGTGCCTTTCTGAGCAGCTGAATGGTCAAACCTCTGCAGACCGGTAATGTGCTGCATGAGAATGACCTTGCATAACAAAAA